GTTCATTCTTTCTGGAGTGTGTGTGTGTGTGTGTGTGTGTGTGTGTGTGTGTAGTGACTAGAAGATGATTAATACTGGGAAGGTTGACAGTAAAGATGGCAAAGGGCCTTATAAATCATGTAAAAGTGTGTACTGTAAACCAGAGGGGTCCTTCCTGGGCTCCTCAAATCCCACCATATAGTTGGATTCTAAGGGGATTATGTGGGTGGAAAAGGAACAGATGGAGGCAGGCACTCTGCTCTTGTGAGGCTGATGATCCAAAACAACTAAGCCCAGTGGCTGATTGCAAAGGTCCATGCAAATGATTGCCTTTCTCCCTGGAATCTCCTTTCCTCCCTTGCCCACTTTTCTAGATGCACCTCAAAACTCATGTACTCTGGGAGGCTCTAGGCAGAGTTGAGGGCTTCTGCTTCTGTAGGTCTGGGGGTGGAGGAAGGAAATGGATTGGGAAGGATATGGATGTGGACAGGTGCTGCTGCCAAGGTGGCACTGCCCTCTGTCCATGCCAAGCCCGAGGCTTCAGGTCATTTTCATCTGGTTACATTTTGATGACAAGGAGGGTTCTCCTTCCCCAATCCTGATGCTCAAATGCCTTTTTAGGGTCCTGGATGATCGAAAAAGGGGCTAATCACATATGGGGTGGTCAGTTGGACTGGTTGTTTGCGGATCTGGACAAAGGCTTGGGGGCATGGGAGTCCCATTGAGTGAACCAGTCAATGGGCTTCTACCAGTGGGTTATCGTCACTGGGTGACACCAGATAATAAAAGATGCTCCCTGAGCCCCACTCTCTGTGGCTCCTGCTGACCAATGAAGGCCACTGGAGGAAGCTCAGAGGCCTTCCTCTGATGACTTTACATGTGTCTGTGGGACCCCCTCCCCGTACCACCTCAGCTTGTGGACTCCAACCATGTCTGGGATGGAAGGAAATTAGCTTTATTAGTGGTATCTGATTATTCCTGACTTACACCTTGATGGGCAGCTTTTTGAAAGAAGAATGTCCTACTTTTGATTTTCTGGGTCTCTAATGACAGCTAGAGGGAGAAGCATGTTCTAGCTAGAGGGAAGAATATGCATAGGGTCCCGGGGCTGGGAGGGAGCATGGTGCATTAGAGACCAAAAGCAGCCCTGGCTGGTATGGCTTAGTTGGTTGGAGCATCATCCTGTACATCAAAAGGTAGTTGGTTCGATTCCCGGTCAGGGCATATACCCAGGTTGTGGGTTCAGTCCCCAGTCAGGTGTGTACAGGAGGCAACCTATTGATGCTTCTCTCTCACATTGATGTTTCTCTCTCTCTCCCCCCTTCCCCTCTCTCTAAAATCAATAAGCATGTCCTCAGATGAGGATTAAAAATAGAGTCTGAAAACAGAACAGTGTGGCAGGCACTCAGAGACCCAACAGGACGTGGGGAGAGGGGAGGGGAGATGTGGTCAGGCCAGATTATGCAGGTCTCCCAGCCTGAGAGTGGTGGTAAGCACCAGAAGTGTCCATGCATGAAGGTGTCATGGCCAGAGGGACATTTGAAAGGACTCCCTGGCTGCCTTGTGGAGAACAATGAAGAGGAGAAAGGGGGGGTATTGGGAGGCTATTGGTATAATCCAGGTGAATGAGGGAGGTGGTTGAAAACAGATGGGTTGGGGAAATATTTTAGGGGTAAAAGTCACAGGATTGGTGACAAGTTGGACAGGGACGAGGGAACAAGGCCATCAAAGCTGCCTGTAGATTCCGGTGTGTGGACTGAGTACACAGTAACAGCATTTATAGCAGTAGGAACACTGGACAAGAATGACGTTGTGGAGAGGAACCTCAGTTAGGTTTTGGACATGCTGATTTTGAGGGGGCTCTGAAGCATGCAGCTGGCAATGCTGGGTAGGCAGGGGGATGGTGATTTGGTGGCTAGAGGAGGGTAGTGTTAAGGGAAAAGTTTAGAGAGTCATGAACTCATAGGTGATAAGTAGAGCCACAGCAGTGGGTAAAAGTGTCCAGGGAAAGAAACTATAGAGAGTCCAAGCCTGTGAACACCCATCTAATTGATCCAGAGGTGGGGACCCACAGCCCAGGAGGACAGCTATGACATAAACACCCAGGGGTCTGCTGTTCAAGGCAGCAAATGTCAAGAGCCAAGTGAACGGTCCGTGAAGGAAAGATGATTACATTTCTCTAAGTAGTAACACATTCCCTGAGCTGTGTATAGTGGCCTTTACTTCTGATCAACTTCCATTCACCTCTTCTCAGCTTCTGAGAAGGATTTGCTTGGCGTGTGTTCACCTGCCCCATCCTTCCCAATGGTCAGGCTGCACCTGCAACTCCCCTCAGCTTCATTTCACAGTGTAAGCCAGCTCTCTTGGGTATCTCCACATCTGTGTCATCAGTGCCTGGGATGTCCTTCTGGAGCCGAACAAATGGACCACAGGCTGTGCTCTAACCGTTGGCTGGGCGAGAAGGTGGGCATGAAAGCAAGGCCCAGGCGGCTGTGATGTCTGTGTAGAGACCAAGCAGAGGGAACAGCCAGGGTGGCTAGTGGGGCCCTGGAAGCCAGCCTCAAGCCCAGGTGGCAGCAGTAGGGCATGGTGACTCCTGGACAGTGGTTTGACTAGAGCTTTGAGCTGGCTCTGAAACTGAGTTGTCCTAAGTTACAGCTGTGAATATGAATGTAGTTGTGAAGGAAGGGTGGACCTTGATGACCACCACATTTATTCTGCCCAGGTACACATCAGGATGGTCTTTGGCTTTTGAGGCGTGCATCCGGAGGTCTTCAGGCCTTCCCTGGAGTGTGGAGTCCTGCTCTCAGTTCTGCCCTGGGCTAGTTGGTGGGCAAGCATGCAGAAGGGCATGAGGAGGAGGGCCGAGGCAAGCCCAGAGGCCAAGGAGCAGGCCCTCCCCTGATGCCCTGAGCCGGAGGCCCCCTGTTGCACCACCGGCACGCATGTCCGCTCCTGCACTCGGTTCTGCCTCTAGGGAGTGTCTTCCAGCAGCCACACACTTTCCAAGACCCGCTTTAGGCTTAATGCATCTGGAAGCCTACCTTGACTTTACTTTCTGGTCTCCCACAATACTGGCTAGAGCCCACAATATAGAAAAAAAATTATGAAAGCTTTACTCTGTTGGTCATAATTGTGTTTCCTGCATGAAAGATGCTACAATTTTCAAGTGCAGGGGTCATATGTCCTAGGCTTACTGAAACTGCCCAGCAGAGAGCTGGGCACACAGGGGCTGCTCCACAACCTGGTAACGGGACAGAAACTCTGTTTCAAGAGACCAGGCGGAGCTGCTGTTTGTCAATTAATTAATTAATTCACTCATTCATTCAGCAGCAGCCAAACGAATGATGTATAAGGTATGATTTATGCTCACACAGAGCTTAAAATGAAAATAATAATAATTATAATAACCACCTTTTATTGCACACACATAGGCTAATGACTATCCTGGGTTCTTAGCATCACATGTCTAGTTCTAATTCTTATTACAATCCTGAAAGTTTCGGGTTCTCCTCATTTTACAGTGGAAGAAACAGGCTCAGAGAGGTCTCAGGGTCAGCAAGTAGCAGAGCTGAGGGTTAAGCCCAGGTGGTGGAGCTGAGAGTTAAGCCCAGGGAGTGGAGCTGAGGGTTAAACCCAGCTGGTGGAGCTGAGGGTTAAGCCCAGGTGGTGGAGCTGAGAGTTAAGCCCAGGGAGTGGAGCTGAGGGTTAAACCCAGCTGGTGGAGCTGAGGTCTGAGCCCAGGTGGTGGAGCTGAGGGTTAAGGTGGAGCTGAGGGTTAAGCCCAGGTGGTGGAGCTGAGGTCTGAGCCCAGGTGGCGGAGCTGAGGGTTAAGCTCAGGTGTTGAAGCTGAGGGTTAAACCCAGGTGGCGGAGCTGAGGGTTAAGCCCAGGTGGTGGAGCTGAGGTCTGAGCCCAGGTGGCGGAGCTGAGGGTTAAGCTCAGGTGGTGGAGCTGAGGGTTAAACCCAGGTGGCGGAGCTGAGGGTTAAGCCCAGGTGGTGGAGCTGAGGGTTAAGCCCAGGTGGCGGAGCTGAGGGTTAAGCTCAGGTGTTGAAGCTGAGGGTTAAACCCAGGTGGCGGAGCTGAGGGTTAAGCCCAGGTGGTGGAGCTGAGGTCTGAGCCCAGGTGGTGGAGCTGAGGTCTGAGCCCAGGTGTTGGAGCTGAGGGTTAAGCCCAGGTGGCGGAGTTCAGGGTTATGTCCAGGTGCACTGGGCTATGCTTCTCTCTTCAAATGTGTTTCTCAGAGGTGGGAAGACACTGAGTCTGATCAGCTGCAAGACCTTGGCAACCTGTGGCCCCCGTCTGGGACTTTGGTGCAAAGCAGGGCTGGGTGTTTCACCTCTCAGTCCCCTCCAATAATAAGATGCTGCAGTTCCATCACCCACTGGGTTCCTTTCCCTCCAGGGTGATGCTGGCAGTCTTTTGAAATAGCACTGCAGTGCAGCTGCAGGCCCGGGGAGGGCCGCGAAGGGGCCATGGAGCTCTGAGGGCTCGGTGCAGCCAGCAGGTGTGTGGGGACCCCTCAAGGGCACTGAGGCTGCCCTTTGTCAGAGGACACTCCTGCCCGCAGCGGGCCCACCATGGCTTTGTCCTTGCTCTCTCCGTGAGGAGCAGTGTTGGCTGGTCTGGCTGCCCTGGGAGGGGCCCTGAAGCCTAAGCCTTTGGCATTAATTCAAGGTGTCTCTCCAGACAGTGTCCCACCCACCCTGGCTCGCCTGAACCACCCTCTTGTCTGGGAATTATAAGAGATTGTGATAACCCTCATCCATAGGGGCTCCTGCTGGTGGCTCTCAGCTCTGTGTGAGTGAGTGTGTGTGGTGGGGAAAGACCCCCCCCCCACTTCCTTCTTCACTGTCCTCTCCCCTGTGGCCAATGGGACCCTGGATCACTAAGGCTCTGAGGAGACATGGCCATTTTTTAGGACCACCCCCCATGTCTCTCCCTCAGTGCCTCAGTTTCTCCAAGTCCTGGGTTTCCCATCACCTGAAGTGGCTTTGCCTCCTTTCCTTCCCTCTCACAGATATCCCCCTGCTCCCGGGCTCCCCACGCAGGCTGAGCCCTCGGGCAGTGGCCAGGGCCAGCCAGGGCCCCAGACAAGGACAGCAACACCTCAAGGTGCTGGGTCCCCGAGCCCCAGGTCTGCAGGGCTGTTCCAACCAAGACTCTGGCCAGCTCTCTGGTGGAGAGAGTTCCCACAGAAGTTCTGTGAGTACTGGGCTGGGGGGGATGGCCCGCCCTGTGGGGGGCCCTCAGGGGAGCCTCTTGACTGGGGAGACTCCCCTCGGGAAGCAGGTGTGTGAGAGAAAGAGAGAGACACCTGGGGTTCTGGTCAGAGGAGGGCAGGGAAGGAGGGGGTGTGAGAGGCCAGGTGATTCCACCCGCTGGTCTGCAGACTCTGGCTCCCCTCCTGGCTCTGCGGCGGTGGCTCCGGAGGCTCTCCCCTGTGCCTGGTTGCCCAGGTGACCTCTCAGGTGGCTGCTGAGGCAGCTGGGTATCAAACCAGTAACAAACAGGGAAACACCCAAAGGGGAGGCCGGTCTCTCCGCCTTGTTCTTTCTCCTCCTTTTCTCTCAACGAACCATCTCCACAGGTGGACGAGAGCAGGAGTCAGAACCCTGCTGCCGTCTCTGGCAGAATCCTCTCCAGTGGCTGGAGAGGAGGAGGAAGAGGGTGATGTGGGGCAGTGAGGGGCATAGTGTATAGTGAATCCCTGTGGGGTGAGAGGTGGGGGTGGGCCAGGTGACCAGGAACTAGCCTTTGTTCCAATGGATCCAGAGACCCTGCCAGTGAGTACTTGTGTGTACAAATGTGTGATGGAGGATCTGCGAGGGGGTGGGTGTGCCACCGTGCATGTGGAGGGCTGTGTGTCAGAGTGCACTCGGTGACATCCGTGTGCATGATGTGTGTGCAGGAGCACTCTTACGGGGAGGCTGGGTGCAGTGACTGAGCATGTGCCGGAGGCGACCTGGCTCTGTGTGGAGGCAGGTGGCTGTGCAGGGTTTGCTGCGGCGTGTGCAGTCTGTGTACGTGAGTGTCCGTGTGTGCATGAAGGCCGGAGCAGGTGGGAAGGCTCCCATGCCTGGGCTGCGGACAGGTGGGTGGAGGGCTGTGTGGGCTGTGTGTGGCAGATGAATTTGGGCCTCTCTGACCTTTCACGGGGACAGCTGGGGCCTCTGGGCCTGAGGGAGCTGCTTCCTAGCGCGCCTTTTTGGGCCCAGAGCAAGGTCAACCTCCCCAGTCTCTCACCCTTTCCTCACCAGACCTCACTATTCCCTCACTGTTTCCTCTGGTCAGGTCATCAACAACTACCTGGATGCCAACGAGCCAGTGTCCTCGGAGGCCCCTCGGAGTCGCATGCACTTCCATGACAACCAGAGGAAGGTCGACTATGTGCTTGCCTACCACTACCGGAAACGTGGGGCGCATCCCAGCCACGACTCCCCTGGTCATTCCCTGGCCATCGTCTCCAACGGGGAGACTGGCAAGGAGCCCCATGCCGGGGGCTCTCATGACATTGAGCTGGGGCCGCTCGATGCCCTGGAGGAGGAAAGGAAGGAGCAGCGGGAGGAGTTTGAGCACAATCTGATGGAGGCCGGGCTGGAGCTCGAGAGGGACCTGGAGGTGAGGTTGGGCAGGTGTCGCAGGGCTGTGGGATGGGACGGCCCTGCGGGGCTGGGCTCCCGGTGACCAGTGTCACCTGCAGGGAGCCTTGGCTTTGTTCTGGAAGGTGGCTTTGTGTGTGTGTGTGTGTGTGTTTTCCTGATGGAAAAATCAGATTTTCTTGCCCAAGAACTTGAGGAAGAGTCTTGGTATAGCTGGTGACTCTATGTAGGGGATCCCAGGTAGTAGGGGTGTGTGTGAGTGCGCCAGTCTGTTGTGTGGGAGTCAGCCTAGTAGACACTGAAAGCACATTTCTCCTGGTGTTCTCAGGCCCCGTCCGGGGGCCTTCTCCATAATGGTTCCTTGGGATGAAGACCGTGTTTGCCTGTTGAACTTTGGATCAAAATTCTGCTTATGGGATGTACTTCACTAAGGCACATGCTTACCTGGGACCCCCTGAGGGAGTTGATTATTTGGGAACTGAATCAACTGAGTTCATTATTTGGGAACCAAACATGTGAGGTATATATAGTCTCACCTCTGGTCTGCAACCAGCCTAAGAAAGTCTATTTATGTACAAATTTGTCCATCCATCCATCCATCCATCCATCCATCCATCCATCCATCCATCCATTTATTTGTTCATTCACTTACCCATCCATTTCTCCATACCACAGCGATCCTTTAAAAACGACCTGCTATCGCTATACTCTCCAAACTCATTTCCTACCCCTCCCACCCTCCTGCACCTGCTCCAGCCCACCAGCCTTATTGTGTATGTATTAGTCACCCTCACCTCAGGGCCTTTGCTCTGGCTGTCCCCTCTGCCTCCACACCCTTCCCCAGGCCTGTGCATACTCATTCCCTTACACTCATTCCCCTCTGCTCAAACGCGAGCCTCTTCCACACACCTGGCCTCACCATTCCAGCTGGAACACCCTCGACCCGTCACTCTGCTCCTTGACCCTGCTTTACTTTTCTTCACACACTTAGCCCTGCTACCTGGAAGAGTGTGAGAGGTTTACTTGTTTGTTTATTTTTATCTGTGCCCCCACCTGCTCCCGGGGGGGGGGGTCGTGTTTGGTTCACTGCAGCACCCAGGACAGAGTAAACAATAAAGTAGTAGGTGTTTAACAAATGTTAGTTGAATAAATAAGTGACTTCCCTGAGTCCCAGGTTCCTCACCTACAAAATGATAGACACCCTGCTGCCTTGCAGTTTTACATGTCCCGTGATGAGATCAGGGCCATGGAAACACCCAGCACAGTGTTTGGTCCACTGTAGGGGCTCAATGAATGCTCAAATGATGCTTTCAAGAGGAGTCATGCTGAGGGGTGAGGTGCCATTCTCATCAGAAACCCGTTTTGTAAGATTGAAGTTAATACTGTCCCCAAACTGGAAGGGACCCCCAGAGGCCATTCATTACTTTCTATGTCCCCAGGCAGAATGGCATGTGGCCTGGCTCACACCTTAGTTGTGCTGACTCAGGCTGCTTATCCAGACCCTTAAATCAGGATCTACTCCTCTTGTTCTTCTTTCCACCAGTGTGGGGACAGTGTGCTCTTTTAGGGCTATTTGGGACTCCCTCGCTGTGAGAGTGCTGATTTTCACTTTTTGAAACCCAAAGCTCACTTGGTGCCTCTGTTTGGGGTCTGGTGGGAAGGTTTCCTGAGGTAGTGGCGTGTTTTGAAGGCCAGAGAACTTTTGGTACTGCTGCATGGCAGGCTGCAGTGCACACACCTGCCTGTAGGTGTCAGGGTGTGGAGCGAGGCAGCCCCATGCTCAAGACCTGTTCTCCGCAGTCCGAATGCAGATGTGCACATCCCAGCCTCACAACCTTGGGAAAGTGACTTGATCCTTTTGAGTCAAATTTCCCATGTGTATAAAGTGGGACTAACAATACATTATTCTTTATTGGGTTGTTATGAATATGACATAAGACAACTAAATCAAGTATCTAGAGCAGTAAGGAGTCAGTGTTCCTGCTATTATTACTATTTAGAGTTGTCAGATTTAGCAGATGAAAATTCACAATTCCTGGTCAAATTTGAATTTCAGAACAACAACAAATATTTTTTTAAGCATAAGTATGTCCCATGAAACATTGGGGATATACTTATACCAAAAATATTCATTGTTGATCTGAAATTCAAATCTAACTGTCCTGTTGACTGTTACTACTACTACTACTACTACTACTACTACTACTACTAGTATCCCTGCCAATCTCTGCCATCCTCCAGCATGTTTTATTTTACTGGATTGCACAGTCCCTGCTGGGTCGCACAGGCCTCTCTGGTGCTCCCTCACCCTGCAGGTCCCGCGGGTGTGCAGCTGGATTGCACTGGTCCCTCTCAGGCTCCGGCTTCCCACTGCTCTTGTGAGCTGCTGGACCACACAGGCCTCTGTGGAGCCCCAGGTCCCGCTGCTGGTGGCTGGGAGTGCTGCTTCCCTGTGGGGCTCAACTCCTGCTCAGCTTTTGCTGTAGTTTTTGGGGATGGGTCTCAGCTGCTGGTCTGTGCTTCTGTTGCCTGGGGATGGATGTCTGCTCCAGCACATTTTATTTTAGTTGCTACTGGATTTTCCTGGCTTTGGCTGGGAATTGGGGTTGACCAGTGTTAGATAGAGCTGTGGAGTGGGCCCTGGATTGTTGTCCCTGTTGTGTAACCACTAAGAGCTCCCACCTCCCAGCCCCAACCCCTGGCTTCAAGGTCTACTTAACTCCTCCTTCACAGGACTATTTCAGGTCACTCAGCTTCTCCGGGCCCTTCCATCATCAGAGTCTCCACCACGCATAGCCGTCAGGACCTACTTTCTTACAGGGTTTGCTCTCGCTCTCTGTTTTCTAAACATTTATTAGTGTTATTAGTTTCGAGACCTCTGATGCAATGAGTTGAGTTAATTACACTTTTCAGTCATGGTACATTATTATCGTCATTCTGCACAAGGACCCCTTTGCTACTTATTTATTTTTATTTTTATTTATTTTTTATTTTTTTTATCCTCACCCAAGGACATTTTTCTATTTTTTGTTCCGGTAGAGTGGGAGGGAGATAGAGGAACAGAGAGAGAGAGAGAAACATCGATGTGAAGGGACACATCGAGTGGCTGCCACCCGCACAACCGACCAGGGCCGGGGACAAACTGCAGCCGAGGTACGCGCCGTTAGCGGGAACCGAACCCAGGTCTCTCCGGACCGCAGGCCGACGCTCTACCGCTGAGCCAAACCGGCCAGGGCTTTGCTACTTATTTAAATACCCCGCTCACTCCACAGGCAATCATTCCAGGGCATTGTATTTCTGGGAAATGTGTAGTGTTGTTCTTGTTTTACATATTTTTCTTTTTTAATTTTAAAAACGGGCTTTATTGTTTAGAACAGTTTTAGAGTTACGGAAAAAGGAGACAGAGTTCCCATATGCCTTGTACCTGGTCCCCCTCTTATTAGCATCTACATGAATATGGTACACATGACACTATTAATGAATCCATATCAACACATTATCATAAACTAAAATCTATACTTCATTTGGATTTCCTTAGTTTGTTCCTACCGTCCTGTTTCTGTCCCAGGATCCTACCCTGGATACCACATTGCATTTCGTTGTCCTCGCTCCTTAGGTTCCTCTTGCGGTGACAGTTTCTCAGCACTGTATGCATTTTGAATTTATATAAGGTGCTCGATAGCCCATTCTGTTTCCCACTTTTTTCACTCTGCATATATTTTTCAACCATTCACATTCTGCATGTGCATCGAATCCATTTTTTTCCTAATGCGTGAACAGTTTGCAGTCACTACAATTTTCCTAGTCACTCCCATAATGATAATGAACATTCAGGTTGCCTCCAACTGTGTGCCACCTCCCACAAGATTGAGAATGAACTGTCCCCTCCTTCAGGGGCAGTGGTCCATGATCGTCTCTGTCTTCCGCCCCACCCCCACCCCAATGCCATGTTGGTAAATACTGATTAGAGATGCATTAGCTGGAGCCTGTGAGGGGGTGGGGCTGGGGTCTGAACAGCTCTTCTCTGAGCCAGGATGCTCAGCCTCTGGCCTTGAGCTGCAGTCTGGAGCTGGCACCTCTCAGGAGCGGGGACACTGCTTGACTGCCCCGGCAGCTGTTTGGAGAACAGGTGCAGCCGCCCACCTGCTCAGCTGGCCCACCCTGCTAGGCTGGGCTGTCTTTTAGCCTCAGGTTTCACTTTGATTTTAAGATATTGGGGGAGAAAATGGGATTTCTATGAGACACCCATTCAACATTACTCACTCAGCCTTAGCGGAATGTGGCATCCACCAAACTCTGATCGAATATTGCGGAATTCATTTCCGACTTCAGTTACTAATTGCCGCTTCTCTTCCATTTGGTGCTTCAGTTTTTCATTCTGTGTGTGTATTTCCATGTATCAACATTGTCCATGTTCATATTTTAAAGACTATTCAGTATTTTTTCAGGTGACTAAATCACAGTTTTCTTATGTTTGGCCATTTGATTAGAATTTCTTTTAAAGACATCACTGGAGATGCCCATGGGTGACAGAGACACCTGCCTCTTCACTGCTGATTTGGGCAAATGAGGGCCATGCAGAAGCGACAGGCACCGCTGCTGCTGTCTTCTCTCTGACCCGCATAGAGCTTGTGTTCGCAAAAGTCTCAAATCCTGCTCTGCTAGGACTTAGGAAATTTCCCGACCCTTAGGAAAAGCTTGCTATTTGGTTTTCTAGGGTGACAGTGTCCCTGGAGGTCTTCCTGTCCATTGCTCTGCCTCAGGCATCGAGAGCAGGTTTTCGGGCACTGAGGGGAGTGATGTGTTTCTATGGGGGTGTCCCGTCTCCTCCTGACTCCATGATAAAATCAGTCTATTTCCTCCTCAGGAATGAAGTAGGGGTTCATGTTCTTAGGAAAGGCTACAGCGAGTGCAGAGAAAATATGAAGGTGGAGTTTAATGACGCCCTAGTCCCCACTGTTTCTTGGTGATGGCTGTTAAGCGCGTGAGTGTGGGTAGCAGTCACAATGCTGTTGACTT